GGCGCACAGAATACTGTTACCTTCCCACCGAAGTGGTACCTATTTATCTACTTGCATTTTCGTGCGTTCGAACTGCTAGGTTGGCAGGAGCTGCGGCCAGAGACGGGAGCTCACTCCGTCTTGTGGCACTCGGGTCTCGAACTGCTAAACTACTGACCTTCCGGTCTGCAGTTCAGCGTCTTAACCACTTGAGCCACTGCAGCCCTATAGAGGTTATTTACGTATCTACAAATGCAAGTTCTAAGACCCACCCAGTTTCCTTTGCCCATGTTTTGCAACAAAGCAGTCAGTGGCTGCGGTGGCTCAAGTGGTTAAGACGCTGAACTGCAGGCTGTGGAAGGTCAGTAGTTCAGCAGTTCGAGACCTGGGTGCCACAAGATGGAGTGAGCTCCCGTCTCTAGTTCCAGCTCCTGCCAACCTAGCAGTTCGAAAGCAAGAAATTGCAAGTAGATAAATAGGTACCACTTCAGTGGGAAGGTAACAGCGTTCCGTGTGCCTTGGTGTTTAGTCATGCCGGCCACATGACCACGGAAACGTCTTCGAACAGCGCTGGCTCTTTGGCTTTAAAACAGAGATGAGCACCGCAACCCTAGAGTTTGATTCGACTAGCGTTCGAGCAAGGGAACCTTTACCTTTACTAGTCAGTGGAAAGGAGGTATGAAGACTATGCTCAAGGCCCTTGGTGAGTAACCACAGTACAGGGGTACTTAGCCTCCCCCTATCTTGGTGGGACTGTCTGTATGCAGAGTGTGATTCTGGCAGTAGAGCAAAGAATGTAAATGCTATTCAAATCCTGTAAGCTTGTAATTTTTTATTCTTGCAATTTCACCCTCCAAAAAAAATTAAACTAGAAAATTAAGATTTTTTGAAAACTCCACATTTTTCAGTTTTCAGATCAAGACATTTATTGACATTCTAAACTGCAGCTCAACCCCCCCCTCCCAAAAGTGCACCTGGTAAAATGGCCTCCTGCTGGCAAATTCTGCTCATCTTTATATTGCTGCAACGCCTCCTAAATTTTGGTTTAATCTTTTTCCAGTTGCAACAGAGGCTGCATCATTTGTGCCACGCAGTAGGGTAGTGTACTCCACGGCAGCAAAAGGGAGAGAAAACAGTCTATGGATATCATTCCCTCCCCATGTTTGATTCTATTGTTAAGGCTACTAATGTCCGCAGAAGAAGGACTTGTTATAACATACATGGGAACTATCCCCGTTCCAGCCAGCAGGTGGCAGTGAGAACGGCCATCTGCCCTGGTCCCTAGGTGCCGTCTAGGCCTCACACTTACTGCAGAATGAGGGCGATCTCCATTGGCCAATCTGGACGCCTTGAGCCTGGCAAGCTGTTACGTAGGCACCAATAGCGTGGCAGAGAATGTCATGGTGACCCTTGTACCGGCAGACGTCAGAGACGCAGTCGTCGAGGTAGGGTGCGGGGTCAATGGCCTTGTGACACTCCTTGAAAGGTCCGTCCTTCCTGGTGAGGATCGCGCAGTATTGGTCTCCCTCGTAGGTTTGCTTCTCTGTTTCTTTGCACACGGGGCAACCGCTGGTGCATCCATTCACACAGCCAGGGATCTCGCCTACCTTCCAGCTCTCTGCAAACTGGGCGGGACTGGCTGCCTGGCGCCCATCCTTCATGATCAGATCATCACCCGGTTCCCCGTTAACATTGCCACAGAGTCCACAAACAGCGTCGAAGTAGGTGTTCGGAATAGTGACGCGTACCAGCCTGTTCCAGCCAAAGGTTATGGTAAGATCGAAATTGGTGGCGACGAGGACATGGGCTCCGCTAATGTAGGCCTTTACCTTATCTTCATGGTAGAAAGGCAGATCCACAAACAACCCATCTACCTACAAAGAGATATATGGGATATTGTCAAGTTATCAACCCAAAGGTCAGAGAAAGCCATGGAAGAAGGCTGTCTGAGAAGCTGATTCAGCTCCGGGCTAGGAAGAGGAGAAGATTGGATTTATACCCTGCCTTTCATTACCCAAAGAAGTCTCAGAGCAGTTTATAATCTCCTTTCCCTTCCCCACAACAGACACCCTGTGAGGTAGGTGGGGCTGAGAGAACAGCTCTGAAACGACTCGTGACTGACCCAACTGACCCAAGGTCACACCAGCAGCTGTGTGTGGAGGAGTGGGGAATCAAACCCGGTTCTCCCAGATTAGAGTTTGTGCTCCTAACCACTACACCAGGAGAGGTTAGAGCTGTAGGGATTCATTTCCTGGAGAAGTAAATGAACTACATCTTCACCCAACACCTTAGTAATGGGATAAATAGGGATCTGAATTCACTATAAAAAGAGGTAAGATATAATGGCTCCTACTTTTCAGCCACTATAAGATATATGAACCATGAGCAGGGGTCATTTCCTGCAGGAGCGCACAGGAGCGGAGCTCCGGCAGTAAAGAGCCCAGGGGGCGGGCACATGCCACAAGCCCCAGCCCCTGCTCCCAGCAGCCCTCAGTCAGAGCAAGAAGCAGCCAGGTAAGTTGCAGAGGGACCCCCGGGCCCCCAGTCCAAAACAGTCCAGTGGCACCTTTAAGACCAAGTTTTATTCAGGTACAAGCTCTCCCTCCTCCCTGAGGACAGATCTGCACATTCCTCCCCCCCCCAATAGCTAGCAATCCAAAACAGTCCAGTGGAGCCTGAGCGGTGGGTGTTGCCTTCTGATACACTTCTGGTGATGTCAGGGGGTGTGGCATATGGAAATAAGTTATGCTAATGAGCTATGCTAATGAGCTATGCTAATGAATGCCTGCGCCTCTTTTTCTACGAAATGACCCCTGACCATGAGCACTACTGAGGCAAGCACCAGGGCAGGGGTCCCCAAACTTGATGAGCCTGCGGAATTTTGACACGGCATGGTGGTTGTAGCCACAAAATGGCTGCTGCAGGAGGCAGAGCCAGCAACAAAATGGCTGCCGTAGCTTACCTTCAGTCACACAGTGAAGATTGCTGTGCTATGGTTGGCAGCTGCTGCCAAAGCAACATTTTTTAAAAAAATCTGCACAGCCAATCAAATCTCCAAAGGTCAGTCAGAAGTCTAGCTGGGCAAAAGCCCCACCTGGCCATGGTCACTTTCTAAAAACACTTGGCAGGTGCCAGCAAAGGGGTCAGAAGGCACCATTGGTACCTACAGGCAGCACACTGGAGACCCCTGCACAGGGGTTATTACATTACCAAAGAGATAGCCTTAGAAATAGGGTACCGAACACTTGGCCAGCAGACAGAAGGTCCCAGGTTCAATCCCCCACTGTCTCCAATTTAAGGGCCCTAGGCAACATCTAGTTTGAGAGACCATTCTCTGACGTCACCCTGGTTAGCCGCTGCCAAGACAATAATATACTCGATGGATTAATGATCTGACACGGGTAGGGCAGCTTCATCTATTCATAGCTCCTCGTCAATCCCGCCATTGACACGAGCTAAGTGCCGCAGCCCGCAATTAAATAGTGCCCAAACTCCCAGCTGCAATAGACGCAGGCACCTGAAATTCAAGTAGGCAAAGGACGTTTTGTAAAAAGAATTTACGAGCAGGTTAATTGTCCCTTGTCAGTTCAATTTGAGTGAGGAAAAGGTCCAAGGCAGGATCAGACTAGTGATTTTCGAGGCAATCGAGAAGATTTATCAAGATGAGTCATAAAGCACCGACCGAAGCCCTGCCAACACGTCTTTTGGGAACCCTTTTGCGGCGGTGACTCATTTGGGTTCGCACCAGAGGGACAGGAGCAAAGATATGGAGGGTTCCCCCCCCTCTGGGCTGCTCATTTCAAACGTTCTGATTGCCCTGCTGTTGGAGAGAAGATGTTGGACAGGACAGATCAACGGGCATAGCCTTTTAAGCCCAAATTGTCAATCTTGATCACATTGGTCAAAATGATTGGGTAGAATCCAGTTGATGCTCTGCCGATGGATGGAAGGGGAATCTTGGTCAATTCTCTCCATCACTGTGGTTCTTTACCCAGAAGGGTACTATAGCCTCCAGCGTGACCCTTTCTAGAGGTTCACAGGGTACTATTGTAGGAAGGGGAAGTAGGGAACTGATCCACTTCCATCAGCAGAAAGGTGGCAGGATCCAACTCAGCATTTTCTCTAAATTTTCACTGTTCTTTGCTAGATTGTTTCAGGGTGTTTTGTGTTTTTTTAACAACAGCTGCCTACAGACCAAATTGGACTAGACTCTGGGAATGCGGTGTCTGAAGCTCCCCGATCTTATCTGTTGTCAGGCATGTGGGGCCCTGATTCAGATCGGAACTGTGGTGCATGGGAAGGGAATTTAAAACCTTCCCCTCTTCACAGCTTTCTCCATCAAAATGGCTCCAGGTAGTGGCTCTTTTTCCCCCAGAAAACACACGGACACAGGAAACGGCCTTAAACTGAATCACACCCTTGGTCCATCGAGGCCAGTATTGTCTCCTCAGACTGGCAGCGGTTCTCCAGGGTCTCAGGTGGAGGTCTTTCACCTCCTAGCTGGTCCTCTTAGCTGGAGATGTCGGGGAGTGAACCTGGGACCTTCTGAATGCAAAGCAGAGGCTCTGCCACTGAGCCATGGCCCCTTGTAACTGTACACAGTTATGTACAGTACTCATAACTGTACTTGAGCTTTTCCCCCAGTAGACCAAATAACAGCTCCCAGAGCCATAAGAACATAAGAAAAGCCATGTTGGATCAGGCCAATGTTGGATCAGCCATGCTACTCTAGAAGTCTCCAGGCCACACTCTGTCACACAGTAGACAAACCCCAGGTTTCATCAGGAGGCCCACCAGCAGGGCCAGAACTCTAGAAGTCTTCCTACTGTGGGCCCCCAAGCACCAAGAGCAACACTGCCGCACAAGCCATTCTTGATCGTGAAAACAACACAGGAGGGAAGGCTTAGAGAGCCCTTTCCTTGCATCACAACCCAGATCTGAATCAGTCCCTCAAGCATCTGATAACTGCTTTTTAAAATGCTGGCAGCTGAGAACAGAGAGCTCACAGAGTTTTCTCTGCTTTGACCCTCCAAGATAAACCAGTATTCTCATTCCTACATTGCTGGTGGTTCTGAGGCTGAGAGATCAGGCCTGGCTGCCTATCTGAGAGTTGACCTCGGGGCTGTACCTGTTCCTGTCCAGAAATTCGAGCACCTATGTGCCAAAGCACGTGAGCAAATCCAAAAACAAGTCCCAAATTATTTACTATTTTAAAAAATCAGTCCCCGGGTTTACATGATACATACAAGCAATGCTCCCTCTAAGCTGTGGAGTCTTGTGAGCAAAAATTCTACTTTGTGAGCTACTGGCATTAAAGTTGTGAGCGAGCGATTTGACTTCTACATAAATCAGTTTGCTCCGGAGCCATCCTTCCTGAGCTAAGACAAAAATGTGTGAGCTGGAGGCTAAAAACTGTGAGCTAGCTCACACTAACTCAGCTTAGAGGGAACACTGCGTACAAGTTCCTAATTTTATGTGCAGAAAAAATAAACTTAACTACGGAGAGTGTGATTCCCTAATAACTACCAGCCAAGAGAAATAAAAGGTGAAAATCATGCAAGCCGGACAGGAAGCCTGGCCACAAGAGGTGTTATAAAGCGAGCCCTTTGAGTATAAACCACAACTAAAAAAAAAATGAGCTAATGATTCAGTGTCTGCTCTTCCACAAGGACAACATTTCTTGGCTGGACTGCAGCACAATGGCCCACAGTTTCTGCCAAAGGTAGTGCATTTACCCAGGCTAAAAAGAAAAGATGACGATATATTGATTGTTGGTTGGTTGGTTTTTTGCCATCAAGTCACAGAAGACTTATGGTAGGGTTTTTCCTTGTAGGGTTTTTCAAGGCAAGAGACGTTCAGAGGTGGCTTGCCATTGCCTGTCTCCGCATCATGACCCTGGTATTCCTTGGAGGTCTCCCATCCAAATACTAACTAGAGCTGACCCTGCTTAGCTTCCGAGATCCAACAATATCAGGCTAGCCTGGGCTATCCATGTCTGGGTGATACACAATTTACTTACTACAATAGATTTTGCTACTATAGAGGATTACATACCAAATCATAACGTTCTTGACGGACATCTGTTCAAGAAACTAAGCAGTATATTGATAAGATTGTAAGGAAACTATGTGACCACATATAAAAATTATTTTGATACCTTCAACAAATATTTAACTGGTCACATACCTAACATGTATTCTCCCTGTTCCTGTGCATTAGGTAAAAGGTAAAGTTCATAGTGGATTGCAGACTAGCAACAGAAGACATTCAACTGTTATCTATTTGTTACTTAGAAAATACATACGTTGCCACTCCAGATATCTGCTCAATAATATTAGTTTGACTGAATTCAAGTTACCTAGCTAAGGTTACCTAACTCTATTTAAAACGTTCATTCACATCTTTTACAGGAAGCTGGTTTCTATTTCCCTTTTCTATTTCTTGACAGACTTCCTACTCTGATTTTTAAAATACAGGAACATATTTAGCTTCTATTAAATGGCAATGCATTCAGAGAAATGCTTTCCTTTCGTTTGCAGGCAGATTTCAATGCTAAAGATCTTGAAAATGTAGGGGAGGGAGAAGAGATGACAGAAAGTCATTCATTGATCACAAAGAGCATCTTAAGTCATTTAATACCTAATCTGACTGACTGAAACTTGAGTACCAAATATTAACTCCTTCATTCAAATTGAGGCATGGTTTTTAGAGCTTCCAGGCACTTCCAAGCCCTAGCTGATGTGCAGTTTATCATGTATGAGAAACATGGCTCCTAGCAATTAAGACTCAGCAGTGAGATTCCGTAAGGGATATCTTCGTTAACTGGGGTTTTTTGGGGGGTGGGGGGTTTCATACATGAAATAATGTATATATCCCCAGAGCTCATCTGTGCAATAATCAGCAATCTATTCAAGCATCTTGCTTGTACCAGCATAAACTACAATGATCAGGTTGCTATAATTTGTGGAAGAAAGACTGGAACCCAACCCTCAATCAACGGCATGAGGTATCTTGTTTAAAGCAGTGGTCTTCAACCATTCCATGTCTAGGACCCCCTGAGCTACAACTACATAGCAGGAAATCATGTGACAGCCATATGACAGGAAGAGTGGGTCCACATGATCTCATCAGTGTCAAGGCTAGGACTACAGGCAGCAGAACGAGAAAGCCAGGCAAAAGAAAGGCAAAACAAGGGTCAACCTTGTTTCATCATTCTGCCATTCATTTCAGCATAAGGCAAAGAAAAGCAAGAGATATGATCTCTGTGCATGTGCACTAAAGAGACATTCATTCAAAACTCAACCAAAAACTTATGCCAGCTTGGAGGAGGCTTGCAACCCAACAGGTCAGGCTTTGTGACCTTCTTAGGGTCTTGACACATGGGCTGAAGACACTTAATTAAAAGAATTGGGCAAAGATAAAGGTTTCCCTTGCTTGAAAGCTAGGGAAAGGAGATTGTAAGCCGCTTTGACTGAGACTTCTTCTGTTAGTGAAGGGCAGGGTATAAATCCAATCTCTCCTCCTCCTCCTCCCCCCCCCCCGCTCCAAATACTAGCCAGGACCAACCCTGCTTAACTTCTGAGATCTGACGAGCTCGTGCTAGCCTGGGTTATCTAGGTCAGGGATTGGGACTGTAAAAAAAGTTAAAATATTGTTGCTGGACGGGAAATAAAGGGGGTGAAGTGACCTCGGGGCTTCCTAGTTATGCTTCACCCAGGGGTCATTTCCTGCAGGAGCGCAGCTCCGGCAGTAAAGAGCCCAGGGGGCGGGCACATGCAACAAGCCCCGCCCCCTGCTCCCATCAGCCCTCAGTCAGAGCAAGAAGCAGCCAGGTAAGTTGCAGAGCTCCCTCCGGCCCCCTGGTCCAAAACAGTCCAGTGGTACCTTTAAAACCAAGTTTTATTCAGGTACAAGCTCTCCCTCCTCTGCCAGGACAGATCTGAACATTCCCCCCCACACACAATAGCTAGCAATCCAAAACAGTCCAGTGGAGCCTGAGCGGTGAGTGTTGCCTTCTGACACACTTCTGGTGATGTCAGGGGGTGTGGCATATGCAAATAAGTTACGCTAATGAGCTCCTGCACTTCTTTTTCTACGAAATGACCCCTGGCTTCACCAGTTCTCCGTCTTTACCTGGATCGTGCGCGGACGCTCCTGGCTGATTGTGATGGTTCTGTTATAGACTTCCAGGGTAACAACGGAAGAGAACGGTGCCGTCTTACTGCCTTGGCTGTTCTGGATCTTGATGGTGAATGGGGTGAGAGTGGAGTCACTGGAGCACAGCCCAACCAGCTGGTAGATGCAAGTGCCTGCAAAATCATATCTCTGCCCATCAAAGGTAGCGTAGTGATGGTCCCCGGCTGCCGAGCAAGTGGCGTGGCTGCGGGCATAACAGCCCCGGACACCGTCGACCGTGGCACATCTCTCGCTGGCCTTGCAGCTCGCCGGCTGGCACACCATCATGCCCAGGCTGGGGTCACACCTGCAGCGAGAGCTGCAGTCCTCATCGGCCCAGAACTCCTCCCCGGGCTTATAGTAGAGGCCGTTGTGGGTGCACCCGCAGCTCCCCACGGGGACGCACTTGTCGGCGCTGAGGACGTAGCCATCGTTGCATTGGCAGGTTTCTGAGCAGGGCATGCTGCACGTCGAAGGGGCGGAGCGGTCCGCACAGCTGGCGGGGCAGGCGTTTCCGCAGGCCTCGTAGTGGCTGTTTTCAGGGCAAGGCAAAGCTGCGGGGAGACAGGAGGCAGAAAAATGACAGCAAGCGAAGAGATCGGGGACTAATTTGACCTGTGATGGCACCATGCAGGCAGGGTCGACATCACCATCCCCTGAGATGGGCAAACTTCTAGGGCCCGGGACATTCTGGTGGGGTCCCCATCCACACACCTCCCCCGCCACCTGTCTGTACCCATGCTCCCAACGGCCCAGAGTCATTGAGGAAGAGCATGTGGGTGGTGCCCATGTGGTGGCACTCCTGGTGTCCATGGCAGCGGCACTCACAGCCGCATCCCCTGGCCAGTGCTGCTGGGGGAAAGTGTGCAAGTGGTGCAGGGGACTGAGTCTGGGTGGCGGAAGGGCTTGCAAGGGGAAAGCAGATGCCTAGGCAGCGGGGGGGGGGCAGCGCCTGGGTGCTCTCTCCCCAGGACCGCCCCCAAACCAGAATCAGCCCTGCACACAAACAGTGGTCCCAGCCAGACCTCTGACAGTCTTGTGACTGACACATCCCCAAATGTCATTGTTACCTATAGCGGCTACCTACATCCCAGTCCTGTCTGCCCAGTTTCCTTGCAGTATCTTTTAAGGACGGCTACAAATTGTTGGAATGGACAAGGTCTGGTGTACAAAGAACATAAAAAGAGCCCTGCTGGATCAGACCAATAGTCCATCCCGTCCAGCATCCTGTCTCACACAGCAGCCAACCAGTTCCTTTGGATGGCCAACAGCAGGACGTAGAGGCTGAGGCCTTCCCTTGATGTTGCCTCCTGGCTCTGGGATTCAGAGGCTTAGTGTTTCTGAATGTGGAGGTTCCACTCAGCCACCATGGCTAGTAGCCATTGATAGACTTATCCTCCATGAATGATTCTCATCCCCTTTATTCCTGTGGCCATCATGACATCTTCTGACAGCAAATTCCATATTTTAATCACTCTCGGTGTAAAGTAGTATTCCCTTTTGCCCGTCCTGAATCTACTGCCCATCAGCTTCTTTGGATGCCCTAGAGCAGTGCTTCTCAACCTTCCTAATGCTCTTTAATACAAGTTCCTCATGTTGTGGTGACCCCCAAATACAAAATTATTTTTGTTGCTACTTCATAACTATGTTTTCCGATGGTCTTAGGCGACCCCTGTGAAAGGGTCGTTCGATCCCCAAAGGGTTCGCAACCCACAGGTTGAGAACCGCTGCCCTAAAGTGCTAATATTTTGGGAGAGTGAGAAAAATTCTCTTTGTCCCCTGCAGGGGGCAGCAAGAAGACAGTGAGATAGGATAGTGAGGTCAGCACCTTCTCTTCCGTTTCCCCTGTCTCCCCGTTGCTACTCCTGCTTCTTCTCTTTCTCAGCTGCAGTGTAGCCAGGTCCCTACCTCTGTCTCTCCTCATCACTATCAAGTTTGATAGTTCCCGAATAAAGCTTTATCTACACTTTAATCAGGCTGTGCACCTCTGCTGTGTCAATTACTCTGCTAACCCAAATAATGTATCAGCAGGCATGATAAGGAGCAGGTTTAAGATTCGGAGGAGAAGATTGTTGGAAGGTTGAGGGCCTGATACAGCCTGGAGGGAGTGGAGGGAGAGGAGACGGGTCCATCTATTACTGCATCCCACTTTCCTTACAGACGCTTCACAGAGAAGCCGTACACCCATCACTGAAATTAGCTTTATACAGAATCAGGTCGTCAGACTGGCATCCCCACCTGCTTTTAGTGTGAGCTGCACAATTGTTGTGTGCAATTATTTCTGGACTGGTTATTCATGCCTATTATACTCCTTACCGGACAATCGCCAATGCATTATGCATTGTTCAGAACTAACCATACAAATCAGATCAGCTACTATTAATGATTTGCAGAACGAATTTGAGGGCTGCATTTTTAAGAGGGGTGGGCAATTTTATAGGAGTGGGACTTTCCTTAGATCATCACTGGATTTATTCTAGCTTTCACGCTGTAAGCAGCCTGGTTGGGCTATTGAAGAAGAAGAAGAGAAGAGATTGGATTTATACCCCATCCTTCACTACCCAAAGGAGTCCCTTCCCCTCCCCACAACAGACACCCTGTGAGGTAGGTGAGGTTGAGAGAGCTCTTTCGAGAACTGCCCTTGACGGAACAGCTCTGAGAGAACTTGTGACTGACCCAAGGTCACACCAGCAGCTGCATGTGGAGGAGTGGGGGAATCAAACCCAGTTCTCCCAGATTAGAGTCTGTGCGCCTAACCACTACACCAAACTGGTTCTCTCCAGTTATGGAACAAGGAACAGGAGGTAGGAATTTGGTAGGAATTCAGCTTCATGTCTGTGCTGGGATTCGCACTCACCACAGCCACTCTGAGCTCTCCAGTCCCGGATGACCACACCCTCTTTGCGGCAGTTGGTAGCATAGACGCTCAGCGCTTGGCACAGGATGCTTTTGGCACCGCCATTGAGGCAGACGTCATAGACACAGCTGTCGAAGAAGTCATCAGGGTTTAACTTAGAGTGGCATTCGCGGAAAGGCCCCCCATCCGCCTTGGCGATCAGCCCACAGAACTCCTCACTCTCAAAGAGCCGCCGCTGCTGCTCCTCACAGACGGGGCAGTCCCCCTTGCAGAAGTCCCAGCAGAAAGGGTCGCGGTCCTTTACTTTCCAGCTTCTACCCCACTCCACCACGGACGCGGGAGTGTCCCCTGTGGGGGTCAGCATATCGTCGTCAGGGTTTTGGTTGAAATTCCCACAGAGGCCACAGATGGCGCCATAGTAGCTGCTGGGCAGGGTTATCTCCACCAACCAGCTCCAATCGTAAGAAACGACCAGGCCGAAGTTAGTCTCTAGCACAGCCTGCAGACCGCTCTGGAAGAGCTGCATCTTCCCATCCTCAAGAGTCACGGGCAGGTTCGTGATGACCCCATTCAGCTGGAGAAAGGGGACAGAATCGTTAATGCATCTACCTCTATCACAGAACCATGTCGCTTGACAGAGAACAAGGCTATCAGGTTTCTAATCTCCTGTGTAATATAAATCACCCTCCTGCAGTTGATAGCTGATTATTTCAGACTCAGTCTACAGATTCTTTGATATCACGGTAATACCACAGGGGTAACTACAACAATATGTCAATTACCAACTTTAAGCGCTGGCCATCTGTCAATTACCAGTTGGCAACTAGAATTGACCTATAGTTATCTTAAGATGGGTAATGGACATATCTCAGTATTTAACATTATAGTGATATGTCAATTACCAATTTCTCCTAGGGGCCTGAAGGAGAGAGCAAGTAACAGAAATTCGGCAACAAAAGTGCAGCGGAAACCAGCGTGTGGATGCCTCATTTGCCACTGCACAAGTTTCCTGGTGGCAGTGGAAGGAACACAGAAAAGCACTCCCATATGAATGTGCCCATAAGAAGAAGAAGAGATTGGATTTATACCCCGCCCTTCACTCCCTGAAGGAGTCTCAGAGCGGTTTACAATTTCCTTTCTCCTCCCCTCCTCACAACAGACACCCTGTGAGGTAGGTGGTGCTGAGAGAACCCTCTTTAGAACTGCCTGTGAGAGAACAGCTCTGAAAGAACTTATGACTGACCCAAAGTCACAACAGCAGCTGCATGCGGAGGCATGGGGAAGCTTTCATGGACTAGAGCCCCACTGGTAGAGGCATGACCAAGTGGGCGCTTGTACATGAAATCTTGTGCTGGGATAAAATCTTGTTAACCTTTCAGGTGTCACAAGATTCTTGTTTATAGTATCTGATGGGAAACCTGAATTCTGGAGAAAATCTTCTTTCTTAAAGCAACCCAGAATTGTGGGTCTATCACACTTTCCTTGAATCCCTTTCCCTTGTCATTTCCTCTGTTAAGGCCTATCAGAACTAAAAAGGCTTCACCATTGTTCACGCGGTGCTCTTAAGAACTGTTGTTCAGATGGTCCTAGGTGGGTCTCAGGATCCCCAACCAAAAATTCTCACCACACTACACAGACAGTCCATACATAGTAAAAAGGTAAAAAGGTAAAAAGCCAGTCGAATCCGACTCTAGGGTTGCAGTGCTCATCTCTGTTTCAAAGCCGAAGAGCCAGCGCTGTCCAAAGACGTTTCCGTGGTCATGTGGCTGGCATGACTAAACACCAAGGTGCACGGAATGCTGTTACCTTCCCACTGAAGTGGTACCTATTTATCTCCTTGCAATTTCTTGCTTTCGAACTGCTAGGTTGGCAGGAGCTGGAACTCGAGACGGGAGCTCACTCCGTCATGCGGCACACTAGGGTCTTGAACTGTTGAACTACCGACCTTCCACAGCCTGCAGTTCAGCGTCTTAACCACTTGAGCCACCACACCTCCTTCCATACATAGTAGTTGCCAGTTTATGCCAAGATAGCTACATGCACCAAATCACACAATGTGTGTGTAGGAAACACCTGAAAAATGGCAGCTTCCCCATGGTAATATGGTGTTGAGCTGTGCCAGGAAAAACAGTGGCTACTATCATACCCACATGTCCATGTAAATCCTCTGGACTGATCACTTTATTTGTGGCTGAAGGAATGTCCCTTAATGTGGAGTCACTCTTTTGCCAGAATCTTTGTTATGGTCACCTTGCCCTACTCTGCTTGTGACATAAAGTGGTTCCGATTAAGTGGGTTAAACTTGAGAGTTTTGGGCCAAGGCCATTCAAGGAACTTCAGAGCTGAGGGTGATTTGCACCTGGATCTCCCTAGTATACACACACTATCATATAATAGTGATGCAAGAAAAGACCCAGTTTTGCCGAATCAGGCCATACAAGACCATGAATGTGGAGCTAAGTTTACTTTTCAACCCAGTGTAAGCCAGCAGTGCACACAAACCCTGATTCCAGTCCTGCTGAGACCACAATCTAACTCTGTGCCTTGAAGGTACACATCTACTAAAGGCGAAGGAAATCAAGCGCACAAGCAGAGAGAACATGGTAGAAGCCAGCTCAGGAGAGTTCATTCTTGGGTGGAAATATACTAGGATCAGGGACCACGTGCATTCCTCCAACCTGGCCAGGTGCCCTGACCAAGAACGATGGCTCTAGCCTGTGGCAGGTGGACCTACCAACCTCTACTAACAGCCATGTTCCTTTTACAGCCATGTTCCCCTGAGAGCCGGTTTGGTGTAGTGGTTAGGAACACGGACTCTAATCTGGGAGAACCAGGTTTGATTCCCCACTCCTCCACATGCAGCTGTTGGTGTGACCTTGGGTCAGTCATAAGTGCTGTCAGAGCTGCTCTCTTGAGGGCAGTGCTTGAGAGAGCTCTCTCAGCCCCACCTACCTCACAGGGTGTCTGTTGTGGGGAGGGGAAGGGAAAGGAGTTTGTAAGCCGCTCTGAGGCCCCAATCACACGGGAGGCTTTGATCCGCAAGAGGGACAGATCGGGGGTGCATCAAGCGGGCGCAATCACACCGCAACATCTGGGAAGCAGCGTGCACCCGTCCCCGATCCGTCCCTTCCAGCTGAAGATGCGGATCAGGAAAAAACCTATGAAACACTAGTACTTACCGAAAAATCCGCTGCAGGGGCAGATGTGTGATCACCGGCGCACCCGTCTCTCCCGCAGCATGCGAGGTCCTGCCAAACTGCGCATGCACATGCATGCACAGCGGGCTCTGTATAGAAATATTGATTCCTATAGACCCCTGCCTCTCCCCTGGAATGTACCCCTGCTGTTCTGATTTCCTATGCAAGCCAGATGGCTGACCATTTTTGGTCGATTGCCTGCCATAAACATTCCTTCACTCGCTGGCAGAGGCCAGAAACAAGCTAATACGCACGTAGACCCATGGGAAGGTGGTACCCTGGGGATCATCTTACTGCAGAGGATGATTCCCAGATCTAGCCTATCCCCCATGACAATCCGAAAGGTGGACAACCCCCTGTCTATTGTAATTGGCTGATGGCCACAGCTGATTGTAATCAGATTGGGGTTTAATTGTCTGATCCCTTGGAAGAGAGCTCAGTTTCTTCTCTTGCTCTCTCCTTCATGTTGAATTGTACCTGGGAAAGGCTGTCCCAGGCAGAACAAAGGATTCTTTGGTGCAGCTGAGCACATGGCTGCATACTTGCACAAAGATGGGATTTCTGCTGAAGATCCCGTGGGATCTTGTTGGACTGTATACTTGGACATTCTTGACTATGGATCCTCCTGGTAATTATGCATATCTCTAATGTCTAGTCAGGGCCAAGACCCTAACCCCGGAAAACCCGCTGCAAAAAAGAACCTCCTACAGAGGAGGACTTACCTGCAGCACCACAGCAAGTGCAGCCGTGGGATCGCTGCCGCGCCCGTTTTTGCGTATCAATCCCGGCTTCCCGCTCAACTGTGCATGCGCACACATGCACAGTTCGACTGCCGCGCTCTTCTTTCTGTGGCTTCCCCTCAGCATCTGATCATGCCGGGGAGGAACTGCACGGCGGATGGGGGGATCTGTCTGATCCCGCCACCACGCTTCTCTTTTGGTGCGGCTCAAAAAGGCCGCACTTTGGCCGCGCCTATTTCCCCCAGTGTGACAGGGGCCTGAGACACCTTTGGATAGTGAAGGGTGGGGTATAAATCCAATCTCTTCTTCTTCTTCTTCTACATCATGTTCTGACTTGAGGCTAAGTTATATGAGCACCATGATATATAGACTCACCCGGATTTTGCCAACTTCCTTCCTGTGGATGGAGATGTTGTACCCATACACATAGATGTTGGTTATTTTCACAAAGGAAATGGCCTGGCTGCCTCTATTGTCGTTCTTCTCGTCCACTCTGAAGGGTACCAGTGTGGAGTCATTGCCACAGTACTTGGCAATGGTGTAGGTACACGTGCCCATGAAATCGATGTCCCGCCCATCGAAGGTGTGGTAGTGCGGGTCCCCCCAACCATAACAGGTCTCGTTGTAGAGCGGGACACATGTCGCCCGGCCGTCCTCTAGCTTGCAGGTCTCCTTGGTCCGACACTTTAATGTTTTGCATGGATCTGAAAGAAGAGATGGTGGCAGTTGTGGTGCAGAAGAGGTCTCACCCAAGATGTTGATGGTCGTAGAAAACACATATATCATCACCAGTGATCCCTCTAAACTGAGTTAGTGTGAGCTAGCTCACAGTTTTATAGCCTCTGGCTCACACATTTTTGTCTTAGCTCAGGAAGGATGGCTCCAGAGAAAACTAATTTATGCAGTAGCCAAATCGCTCGCTCACAACTTTCATGCCAGTAGCTCACAAAGTAGAATTTTTGCTCACAGGACTCCACAGCTTAGAGGGAACTTTGATCATCACCTATTTCATTGCACATGTTGGGTGATCTACTAATCTGTATGATGTGCTCACCAATGACTATTCCCAGAGGTTAACTCTATCAGAGATACTTCCATAGTATCCATATTCTTGTGCAATAGCTTGGGTGTACTGCAATGAGTTCATTGGCATAAACATGTAACACACGGAATGAAGACTGGCAGTCTTTAAGCAGGGGCTGGACAAACACTTGTCAGGGATGCTCTAGGCTGATCCTGCATTGACCAGGGGGTTGGACTAGATGGCCTGTAGGGCCCCTTCCAACTCTGTGATTCTATGATTCTAAGAGACTGACCCCCAATGACGAAGGACATACACAGCTCCCAGAGGCTATGTGCAGCACATCTCACCACTGTACCGGAATTTCCAGCTGTGCATCAGCTCTAGGTCTAGATTTGACAATAGAAAACTAAGGTGTGTTTTTAAAAAATATTTTATGGTCTGCTTCTAACTTGAGAACTGTTTATGGATTGGAAGGGGGAAGTTGCTCAGTGGTTCTTTATGTTGTTTTTAATGTTTGGGGTTTGTTTTGAGAATGGCTTGTCACAAATATGGTTAAACGTACAGTGTTGATTTTAATGCTTTTATAGTACTGTTTTTACTTGGGAACTGCCTCAAGCAGGCCTCTGGCAGGGCAACCTATGAATTCTCTAAAGAAATAAACAGCTTTGAAGAGAGAGTTCAGCCGAGGCTTTAGTTCCCAGGGCATTTCAGATATTGTTCTTTTCCCATCTCCTCTGGCCAAACAGGTCTTGCATGTTTGTGACCTTCCATGTTCAGAGGCAACTAAGCCTCTCAACCCCAGAGCCAGGAGGCAGCATCAGGGGAAGGCCTCGGCCTCTATTCTCTGCTGTTAGCCCTCCAGAGGAACTGGCTGGACTAGATGGACCACTGGTCTGATCCAGCAGGGCTCTTCTTATGTCTTTGAATCTGCAAAGTTGGCAAACCAAAGTTGAAAGTGGGATATGTGGAGGGGTCGTTTCGTAGAAAAAAAGCTAGGGGAACTCATTAGCATAGCTCATTAGCATATGCCACACCCCCTGACATCAGGGGCCCGGCGGTGGACCTGCAAGGCCGGCGGGAGTGCGAGGAAGCCCCGCCAAGGCCCTCCCTGGCCCCAGGCAGGCAGGGGTGGGGAGAGGCAGGGAGGAAGCAACTTACCCTCCCTCTTCTCCTGCCTCCTCCTGGCTGAATGAGGGCCGGAAGCGGGGTGGCCGGAAGCAGGGGGTGGGGCTTCGTCGTGTGCCCTCCCCCCGTACCGGGGAACTGCGATCCCCCGCAATCCCCCCCGAATCGACCTCTGGATATGTGTATATGTAGACCATAAGCACAAATTCCCAAATTGCTTTCAATTCTTGAGTGGGGGCCACTTCTGTGTAGGAAAACGTCCCCAGGCACTTTAAAGATTTAAAAATGTATTAAGGCCAAAGCATCCATAGAAAAAAATTGCATGTGAAAGAGCTCATTCTAGTCCACAAAAACCTGTGCCTCCATAAAGGTGTTTGCCTTTTAGGCACCAAGAGACTCTTTCTGGGGTGTCTCACCAAGTGGCCAAGAGAATCAATGACTTTTGCACAAAGGTGCCAGCCAGGGCCACCCATTGCTCATGCTCTCCTGCAAACCCCTGTCTCTGCCCATTTTAGGCTGCCTTAATGCAGCTCCGCTGGGCACTCGAGACTGATTGTGGCACAGATACAACAAGAGGGGGAAGGCATTCAACACAAGAACCACTTCCTGGCCAGTTTCCTTAGCTTGAACAGGAAGTGGTGGTGGCTACAAGAAGAAGAAGAAATAGAATTTATACCCCACCCTTCCCTCGGAGTCTCAGAGCGGCTTACAATCTCCTTTCCTTTCTCCTCCCCACAACAGACACCCTGTGAGGTAGGTGGGGCTGAGAGAGCTCTCTCGAGGACTACTCTTGAGAGAACAGCTCTGAAAGAACTTGCGACTAACCCAAGGTCACTCTAGCAGCTGTATGTGGAGGAGTGGGGAATCAAAGCCAGTTCTCCCAGATTAGAGTCCGCGCTCTTAACCACTACACCAAACAGGCATAGACAGCTTCAAGAGGGAACTGGATAAACATATGGCGCAGAGGTCCATCAGTGGCTATTAACCACAAGGTATAGATGGAATACTCTGTCTGGGTCAGTGATGCTCTGTATTCTTGGTGCATGGGAGGCCACAGTGGGAGAGCTTCGGGAGTTCTGGTCCTGCTGGTGGATCTCCTGATGGCACCTGGGTTTTGTCCAATGTGTGACACAGAGTGTTGAACTGGCTGGGCCATTGGCCTGATCCAACATGGTTTCTCTTATGTTCTTATGCCAAGAACTCCCTACACCTCCTGCCCTGGTGAGACCCGGGTCAGCTAGCTCCTCAGAATGCCTCTTCCAAAAGCTCCATCCATCCATTCCTTGACTTCACCTCTATTGATGCAGCTCATGATTCCGTCCTGGATTTTGCAGGTCTCGTCACTGCGGCAGCTGTGGGACTCACAGACAACCCCCCGGCCAGGGATGCAGCTGCAGAGTTTCTGGCATTCGTCCTGCAGGACTGTCTCGTGGGGCTACGAGAACATTTGCCAAGGGAAAGCAAAACATTACTGACAACCGTATCATGGTGCTGTTTTTTTAAAACTGGTGAAGTTATATTAGTTACACACAGGGCTCTAGTCGGGGGGGAGCTCTCAGGTACGGAGCTCCGGAAGAGAACCTCAAGGGGGCGGGGCGGTCACGTGGTGAAGCCCCGCCCCCTTCTTTACCCTGCCCTCTGCTTCGATCCTCATTCCGTTTGGGAATGAGGATGAAGCAGGAGGGTAAGTAGCCGGGCCTTCTGACACACTTCCGGTGATGTCAGGGGGTGTGGCCTTCTGTCACTTCCGGTGATGTCAGGGGGCGTGGCATATGCAAATAAGTTATGCTAATGAGTTATGCTAATGAGCTCCGGCAGCTCTTTTTCTACAACAAGACCCCTGGTTACACGGAAGCCAGATCTGGGAACAGAATTCCCACCCCTTCTTTCCTAACTATTATGTTGCTCTCCCCTTTGCTCCTGATTTAGGAGGAAGAGAACTCAAGAGTTCTGGTTCATATACTTGGAAAGGTAATCAGATGAAACCTTCACAAGGGAGCCAAGCAGCTCAGCAGGCGGTAAAAGGCAGAGCCTGGAAATTTCTAGAAAAGCCATTGTGTGCATTTGACCTATTTTTTTACACTTGTGATTGAACTGAGTTGCAAAACACTATCTTTTGATGAATTACTTTTAGTAAGAAATGTCAGTGCAACTCTTTAAGGGGGACCGTGGTTCTCTGGCTGTGGGCTTCTGCAGTTGGATACAGGCACTTTTATGCTCATCCTGTTGCAAACCAACACATGAAGCTGAGTGAGACCCTTGGTCCATCAAGTTCAGTATTGCTTACTCAGACTGGCAGAGGCTCTCCAGGGTCTCAGGCAGAGGTCTTTCACGTCACCCACTGCCTGGTTCTTTCAACTAGAGATGCCGGGGATCAAACCTGGGTCCTCCTGCATGCAAAGCAGATACTCTACCCTTGAGTCATACCCTCTCCCAATAAGCCATACCCACTCCCCAATCCAAAGGGAGTAGTGGCTTGATCTCAGCTTCGCTGCAGCGCCCCCACTGGGGATGGCCAGAGGGTGCAATTGCAGCTTCTAGGACATCAAGCGATATGAGGATCCAGAACTTTCCCCATAAAGCTTCGGAATCAGGGTCAGCACCCCACTCTGAACAGCTCTCTATTAAGAAACAGACAAGGCTTCTCCCGCCCACGGAACCAGCCACACCACTAGCCCTGCCCACCCCTCAGGCCAGAAAAATGAGTTACAAGTCATGCATCTGTCTCAGGTTAATATGGGTTCCTCCAGAGGATCAGAAAACATCTGACCAGCTCCTTAAGCATGGTTTTCAACACCTGGGACTAGTCTTGGTATTCCAGCAAAAAGAGAAACCAGCCCTCGCAGTAAGTCAGAGACAGAGTACACACTTTCATGTACAAGATTCCAGAGTTAGTCCTTGGCATATCTCATTGGATCAGGCCTGTAGCCACAGGGGGCATTTGGGGGCAATGCCCCCTCAGATGAGTGCCGCCCCCGCAGACAAAACAAAATTAAAAAATCAAAAATGTAAGATGCCCCCAGGCACAGTCAGAAAAGCTTCAGTCTCATTTTCTTTTTTCTGGGCCAAAAAAATTAATAGGTTTCTAAAAATGAAAAAAAGAATTAAAATAAAATAAAATTGCCCTCTGCCCCCCTGGGTTTCCCGATGCCCCACCAACCAGAATTTTCTGGCTACGCCCCTGAGTTGAATGCCAGAGAGATGGAGAAGGGACCCGAAATAGTGGGTACATCGGTAGCAGACAGAACTAGGCTAGGTGGAACAACGATCTGATTGCATAAATTCAAGACATTGCCGGGGGCAGTACCTTATAATAGCGTCCATTGGCAGAGCATCCACAGCTGTCCACAGTGATGCAGGCAAGACCGTCGAAGAAGAATCCATCGTCGCACTGGCAGCCCTCCGAGCAAGTCTCGGGGCACGTCCGGGACTCGGTGATGCCGGCACAGTCGGCGGAGCAGACGTCGGCACAGAGCTCATAGTGGCTGTTGAGTGGGCAGCTCAGAGCTACAATACAGAGAGCTCAGACTGTTGGGAAAGATCTTCATACTATTTAAGGTCTAGAAATGGAGGGGTCTCAAGAGGAAGATTAGGCAGAGGAGGAAGAGAAAGTGGAACACAAGGGATCGAAGTCACTGGCTTCCCTTCCCACCTTGCACTGCTGGCAGTGCCCTGGACAATGGTTGAAAACATGGAGCAAAAAGTCTGGAGTTGTTCTCCCAACCTCAGTCGGTTGCAGCTCAATCAAGTCTGAACGAGACTGACTTGAATGGTCGTGGAATTCAGCAAGATAGTACTCACAGAAAAAACCAGGA